GCTCCTGCGTGCTGCATATTACTCCACTGTGTGAATGTACGGCAATGTCTCAATCCATTTGGTTGTGGCTGGACATTTGGGCTGTTACCATGTTCTTCTGATGGTGAATAAAACGGCAATGAACACTGGTGTACAAATCTCTGTGTGTGCCTCCGTTCTCATTTCCTTGGGATGTATTACTAGTAGTGGAATAGTTGGGTCATACGGAGTTTCTATGTTCAACTTTTTGAGGAAACGCCAAACTGTCTTCCAGAGTGGCTGCACCATTTTACAATGCCTAGGTGGGGACTTTTAAAAGAACAAAGGCTTTAAACAAAAACATTTTCACAGATGACCTTTAGACTGCTTAATCAGGGTGCATCCTACACACTGGTTACTCTTTTCCAAGAGAAAAGTGGAATTTGCCTGGTGTACCTGTGTTACTGTATTGTTCTAAGTATTGACAGATCTGAATTTTTAAAAATTACCTTCAATGGAGAAAAGAAGTGTTGTTATATGTGTAAGAATACTTGATAAAGTTTCTTAAACTAACACACGTTTAAAGAAAACACCAAAAAAGCCCACACAAAAACACCAAAAACCCAAAAACTTTTGCACATACTACATACACTTAGTGCCCTAAAAACACTCACTAGTATTCCCAATTTCCATCTAGTTTTGTTTTTCTTTTAATACCTTCGGAAAAGAATGCATTAAACATCTTTCAGTGGTCTGATTTCTTGTTTCCCCCTTTTCTCCTGGACTTTGGATTATTATTTTAAGTTTCTCTGCGTTAATGCTTATACATTAACATCAAATGTGACACTGTCATGATGCAGCAAATATACACTGGTCACCTATCTCCTCTTGGATTCTAAAAACAAACTAAAAGCAGTTAGCCTGGACAGACCAGTAAGACCCTTTTCAGTTTATACTTCTCTTGCCGGCTGGGGACAGGACTTCCAGACTGTACAGTCAGCACAAAATACAACAAGACTCAAATTAAGTCATCAGAAGAGCAAAATCTGGTTCTTAGGACACTCGTTTTAACTCTGTTCTTGACTGTGGTAGTCGTTTGTGCTTACTGTTCTCTACACAGAACAGTGAGTAACCACTATTTGCTGAGAGCCACAGCTACGGCAATAATTGCCCTGAACTGCATCTGGATTTATGGGAAGTAAGTGCAAAAAGAGTGCAAAACCAAGTTTCTATTAGGAAGCAAAAGATAACATATATCTAAACTTTAAAATCTGCTGTTCCCTCCCTCACAGCAATTTAAGAACTAGACCCTGGTATCCTACAACTTTGAATGTTCTCTTAGCTTGTTCAGGAAGAAACAGTTCATGAAGGTAACACTAACAGCACCGAGGGGATCTCTGATACATATACTTAATTTCATTTTGATTTTCTAGGAGTGAATGCAGGAAAAGATCTCAGGCACACATTGCACAACCCGATTTGGATTTTCCTATGTCCGGAGAGCTGTACCAGATTCCTTACTGTCTATTAAAGTTTTTATTAAGACTTAGTTGACATCATTAAAAATAAGTAATAATACAAATACTGCTAAAGTGGAGTGGCGTATGCAAAACAGTAACTGGTTATAACTGGTCGTGTGGTGCATCTTTAACATTCACCTTCTAGGAACTAGGTTTGCACAAATCCTTCAAAGAAATCATTTGTGCAGTTGGTCAATAGTCATCAGCCTTAACTCTGACCCTGGGATGTATGAGACAATGTAATGGTAAGTATGTGGACTTTTCAAGTAATACCAAGAAAAAGTTAAAAAAACAAAACCAATCTTCCTGATAAGGTGGTTTGCTTTTTGTTTGTTTTTGAAGTATGTTTTGGTTTATTTTTAAAAATCTTTGACATCAGGGGCTTCTCCAAAGTCCTGAAGAGCAATGATGTCAGTTTAAAGATGAAGGAGTGTCTGATTCAACCCATGGTCTTTCCAGTCACTTGCTATGCATCTGAGAGCTGGACTGGACAATGAGTAAGGATGACAGAAGAAGAAACAAAGTCTTTGTGCTGTGGTGTTGGAGAAGAGTCCTGAATACCCACGGACTGCCAAAAGAACAAACAGAGGTGTCTTGGAGAAAGTGCAACCAGAGTGCTTCTTCGAGGCAAGGATGGTGGGGCTTCGTCTCAAATATTCTGGGTGTGTTGCTAGGAGAGGCTATTCTTTGGAAAAGGATTCTCATGCTTAGAAAGGTGGAAGGTCAGAGAAAGAGAAGACCCGCAACAAGATGGACTGACGCAGTGACGGCAGCGATGGGCTCAAGTGTTATCAGGGATGATGATGATGATGATGATGGGACACACCAGGCCAGAGTTCAGATCTGCTGTTCGCGGGGTCACTGTGAGGTGTACTTGACTGAACAGCACTGAACACCACACCCCTGATGTCTGCAGTATTCCTAATTCCCCTGCACACATACAGGAGTATTTTTAAGTGATATTCCTAAACCTAAAGGCCTAAGATCCAAAGATTTAAAAAACATATACTTTATGTACTCTCAATTAGGCTTCTTATTTGGCAGTGTTGTCATGACACAGGTATTCATTGGTAATTGTGACCATCGTCAACTCTAGGATCTAATGCAGTCCTTTTCCCTTCCCTCTTCTTCTTGTTCTAATTACAAAGGGAAGAAATTGCAGATATCTGCTTGGAAGTAAATCACAGATTAATTTTTATTACCAAAAAAGTTTGTACACAGAGTTGTGGCAATGTTGTACTTGTTTAGAAAATGAACTTTTCCAAGGCAAACACAGGCTCGTCAAATGACCAAAATGGAAAAGCAGAATGTTCGTGTTCCACAAACCAAGATATAAGATACAATTAATGCAAACTATCATACATCTTCCTGACTGCTGGTGCCAAGGGTGTTGATTGTGGAGCTGAGCAAGTGGAAATTGTTAACAACCTCAATCTCATCTCCATCTATCATGGTGCTGCCAACTGGTCCAGTGGTAAGAATCTTTGCCTTCTAAATGCTGAGCTTCAATACATATTGCAGTCTATAGTCTACTTTCTGGAGCAAATGCTTAAGGCTTCCCTCAGTCTCACTGAGCAAGGTTGTGTCATCTGCATATTGCAAGTTGTTGATGAGACTTCCTCCAATCCTGATGCCACATTCCTCCTCATAAAGACCAGCTTCCCAAATGATCTGTTCTACACATAGATTGAAAAGGTATGGAAACAAGACACACACCTTTCTTGGTTTTGAACAATGCATTTCTTTTCTCTCTTCTTAGGACTGCTTCCTGGTTTGAGTAAAGGTTTTGCATGAGCACAATTAAGTGTTCTGGGATTCCCATTCTTCCCAAGGTTAGCCACAATGTGTTGTGGTCCACACAGCCAAATGTCTTTGCACTGTCAACGAAACACATATTCTTCTGGTACTCTTACTTTCACTGAAGATACATCTGACATCAGTGATATCAGAGAGCACTGAGAAGTAATGGTATCAATCTAGAGACTAAGGTGCACCTGATCTAGGAGACCATGGTCTTCGCAATTACTTGCTTTGCATCAGAAAATTACACAATGACAAAGGATGACAGAAGAAGAATCAACGCCTTTGAGTTATGGTGCTGGAGAAGAGTACTGAACATACCATGGACTGCCAAGAGAACAAACAGGTCTGTTTTGGAGAGGATGAAATCAAGTTTCTCCTTGGATGCTAGGATTTTAAAGTTCCGTCTTACATACTTTGGGCATGTGGCCAGGAGGGACCAGTCCTTGGAGAAGGACATCATGCTTGGAAGGGTTGAGGGACAACGCAGCAGAGGAAGACCCCAGGTGAGATGGAATGACACAGTAACTGGAGTAATGCGGTTAGATATGTCAGAGTTATTAAGACTAGCTCAGGGGGAGGGCAGGCTTCAGAACTGTTGTACACAGGGTCCCTGAAGATATGTTGCATTGGGAAAATCTGCTGTCAAGGACCTTTCCAAAGTCCTAAAGAGCAAAGATGTCAGTTTAAAGACCAAGATGTGTTTGATGCAAGCCACGGTCTTTACAATTGCCTCCCATTCATCTGAAAGTTTGACAGTGAATAAGGAACACAGATTAAGAATCGTCTCAACTGGCACATTGGTGAAGAGTACTGAATTTAGCATGGAATGCCAAAAGAACATACAAATCTCTTGAAGGAAGTGCAACCAGAGTGCTCCTTAGAGGCAAGGATGGTAAAACACTGTCTCACTTTGGGCACATTCTCAAGCAGAACCAGTCCTTGGAGAGAGACACCATGTTAGAAAAGCTGGAGGGTGGAGGAAAAGGAGGAAGACCCTCAACAAAACACAGCATCTTCAGTGTCTTCAATGTGTTTCAGCAGATGAGGGCGGTACAGGACCAGGCAAGGTTCAGAGTTGTTATTCACAGAGTTGCTATGAGTCACAGTCGACTTGACACAGAACAACAGTAACAACAATGCGAAAGGAGCTCTGATGGTGTAGTCCAGAGGGTGTTGTGCTAACCAAAGGGCTGTGTCTCCAATGGTTCAAACCCACTGAAGACAGGCAGTCTCCTCCCATGATGACTGACAATCTCAGAGAGCCTGTGCAGGATCACTACGAGTTCAAACTGACTCAGGAGCCTTGAGTGTAATGAGAAGACACGGTGACAGAGAGGACTGTTTGATCCTCGTGGGTTCTAATGAGGAAGATAGGATGTCAATGCTAAGCTCAGAGGCTCCATGAGTTTTGAGTTTTAGTGGGGAATTAAGAGTTGTGTTTTTCTTCATTCCTGCTTATCCACTTGATACAAACCTTCTAACAAAAAACACTAAACAAATTATGCTTAAAACCCTTGATGCACTACAGTCTCGATTCTAAAACATAAAAATCAAAACCCCTTGAAGCAATACAGACTCGATTACTAAAGAGAACAGATTTCTCGTAAAAGGGAGGTGGTGAAGTGGCATTACCACTCGTTTCCACGTGGAGACACTGAGGAAAAGTTTCCCCATCTCCCTGGTGCACATCCCCCCCCCACCTTGGCTTGGAGCACATACCCTTTTAATATCAGTGATGGCACTCACTGAGCTGGGATACTTGAAATAATCAGCAAGCATGGCGATGAGGTGATCGGTTATGCTGGCGATTCTCTGCAGCTCAACGTCGGGTTCGATCAAATATGCCAGTGTTTCAGCTCCTTCCACTCTCTCCTCCAGTAATCTCTCCTTGCTGCACATTCGGACCAAGCAAGGCAATGTCTGAAAGGCAGTGAGATTAATTATTTGTGTCCAGATAAAGGCCAAAAAAAAGACAGTTGGATGGAACGCACGTACGTAACTGAATCAACTCTATGGTTTTTACTGGAAATCAAGTTTATGATCAAGGTTACCCTTAATGACGCTCTAATAATATAAGGTGTTTTTTTTAATGCAAAACCAAGCAAAATTCAGTGCATATTAATCGCTTGCCATGACAAACTAACCATACATTCAAACTACATTAATTTAAATTCTCATTAGGCTTTCGTGATTGACAGGATAAAAGCTTGACTGTACAACTTCATTAAAGTACATTTAAGAATATCTAACAAATTACGTCTGATGGTTCTGCCCCATCTATATATTTATTTACTAAAAATGATTCAGTAGTTTAATCAGAAGTGATCTTGCTTTAGACAAACTATACTAATTTTCCCTCAGTAAAGAATATGGCTCTAAGGAGCGGTGAGTTGTTTTTTTTTTTTTTTATTAATATATACGATTGCAAAGACATTAAGATTTCTGTGATCTTATTACTACTCAGATCCTACCAGCTCTCCTGCAAAATGCAGCCATTACAGCTCCCAGATTTCTCCAAGTAATTCTTGGAATGACTATGGTATCAACAATCCAAATTAACCTGTTATTCTTGTTGTTGTGTATCACTGAGTCAGAACCGACCCATAGCTGAAAACCCCATAGTGGGTTTTCAGAGGCAGCTAATCACACAGAAGGAGACAGCCCATCCTTCACCCATGAAGCAACTGGTGGATTCAAACTGCGTGCCTCAGGGACTGCAGCACAGCTTCTTACCACTACGCCAGCATAGCTCCCTACGGAGTCTTTAAGAAATTTTGGACACAGCTCCTGGTGACTTATCTACATTAAAGCAATCCAACCAATCCTGTCTTCAAGCTGACTCAGACTTGGGGTGACGCTACAGGGCAGATGAGAACTTCCCAAATGGCACAAGGCTACGATCTTTACAGGAACAGGGCGCTCCCAAGGGGCAGCTGGTAAGTTCGAACTACCAAGTCAGCAGTGAAGTGCTCAACCACTACATCACCAGGGTGCCTTTGTCTAGAATGGGCTTTCAATAAGAATACTCCAGGCATTTACCCCACCTGCTTGAAATCATGGTACTGAAGAATGACTGATATCATTATAAGCACCCTCTTCGGCGACTACAGTCGTACGAGCCCTGCTTTTTTTTCTTTTTTTTTTTTAACAGTCCTCCCACAAAGCTTAACACTCCATTATCCATTATTGATCCAGGCTTTACAATGCGATCCGAGGCTTGTGACAGGAGACATGTGGTTATGTTTCTTTGAATACTTACGAACATTTATCAGTTTCACATTATAAATGGACTATTAACTTCAACATCCCTAAGTCCATAAAGAAGAGACTATTAATTTAATTAACCAATGAGGAAGGAAAGAAGGATTAGGGAAGTAAACAAACCAAGGTCAGGTCACCTACACGCAAGCCCCCAGCACTCTGTGAAGGACTGCTGGGTTAGGGGGTCATTAGATCTCATTAGGGAGCCCTGGTGGTTGAATGGTAAGGAGCTGCACTGTGTTCGTTAGCTCCTCACAGGAGACTAAAACATTGTTTTTGTTGTTGTGTGCTATCCAGCTGGACCTGACCCACAGCTGACCCTTCAGAGGGTTTTCAGAGCCTGTAAATGACACGGAAGGAAACTGCCCGTCTCTCTTCTGCAGAGCGGCTGGTGGATTCTAATGTGTCGTGAGCCTCTGGGCTGATGGCACAACTCCTTACCACTGGGCCTAAACAAAGACGATCTCACATTCTTAAAATAACACATACTAAATGATTTACATTTACTTTACTCTTTAAAGTGAGCAAGAAATTGTAATATAATTAGTGTATTACCATTCTCACGATTATTTTGTGGGAGAGATACGCAAGCATTACAGCCTACAACTTCATTAAGAGTATGGGTGTGCCCAAAGATAGAGCCAGTCAGTGGCCAGTGTGCAAAAACAAGAAAGTATTTCTTATGACTGAGAATTGGTCTCTTCTCCAGGATTGGTTTGTTGAGGTTGGTTTTTTTGGTGTGTGTTGTTTTTTTCCAGTTCTAGATAATAGTAGCAGTCAAGAAATCTAAAAGCATGTTGCACGGCGGTGGGAGTGGGGGATGAGGGGTGGGGTGGGGAATCTGTCAAGGACCCCTCGAACGAGCTAGAGTGCAATGATGCCAGTTTAAAGTGCACCTGATCCAAGGCTCTGGGTTTTCCCAATTACTTGCTATGCATATGAAAATGGAACAATTGTAGGGATGACAGAAAAATAATCACTGCCTCTGAACTGTGATAAAGAAGAGTCTTGAATATTCCACAGACTACCAAAACAACAGCAGGTTTGTGTTGGAGAAAGTGCAAACAGGGCATGTCTTTAGAGGCAAGGATAGGAAAACGTGACCTCGTGATACTCTGGGCTTGTTGTCACCGAGCTGGGAAAGGTGGACGGTGAGAGGAAGAGGAGAAGATCCTAAAGATGGACTCGGTGCCTTTAACGACGGGCTCGAGCGTATCAGAGATGATGAGGACGGCGCAGGACCTGTTGCTCACAGGGTTCCCAGGAGTCATTCTTGACTCCATGGCGCCTAACAACATCAACAACAGGAGCTGAATTTGATGTGCAATGACGCCAAGGACCGTTTTCAAGTGTCATTTATTTATTATCTCTCAATATGTCTTTGATTATCTGGCATGGCACTGACAGAAAGTCTCTCTCCGCAGAGCTGGCCAACGGCTTACCTACGCACAACATACAACACAGCTCAGGACAGGGCAGAGTTCAGAGCTGTTGTGCACAGGGGTGCTATGAGTCACAGACAACTCGAGGCCACATAATAACAACAACAACATATACACTATGTGTTGTATGCAAATTGAATAAAAGTCAAAGATTAAATACACTATTTTCTATATCATCTGAATTTTACACATTTTTTTTGAGATATTAATGAAAGTTTATAGAGAACTTGGATTTCCATTCATTCATTATTGCACATTTTCTTCCCTACACCCTATTCCTCTTATTTCATTTTTCACTTTCGGGTGGAAAAAAAAATTCTTTCATTGTTATACAGGCCCCCTAGTCCACTTTACTATGCTGCTCTTATTCTGGACTCTTGTCATGCCAATAATACCTAATCATATATTCCTTTTATACAGTTATCTCCCTCGTCTGTTTCAATGCTGTGTCCATAATTTATCCCTATTTTCTTAGATCCCCTCTGTCCCCGTGTCAGTGTTGGTTTTTAACAGTGGCATTATGCAGTATTTGTCCTTCTATGACTGAGATATTTCACTCAGCATAATGCCCTCCATGGTCACCTTTCCTGTATAATATTTCATGAGTTCATTGTTTTCTTAGTGCTGCATAATATTCCACTATGTGAATATACCATACCTTCTCTAGCCATTCGTTTGCTGATGGACACTTAGGTTGATTCCAACTTTTTGCTATTGTGAACAAGGCAGCAATAAACATGGGTGTGAGAATTTCACACCCTTTACACTCCAAATTGGAAAATTGCAACAAGGAAAGGATTATTTGACTTTGACTTTCAAAATACAACTAAACTTATTAAAACTAAGTATGGTGGTTTGGGTATTTTATGCCATGTACTCAATATCATAATAAATAAGTAACAAAGAGAAATACCTATATTTCTATTTATCACTTACATGATGGTAATTTTTACCATGTATAGGTTTTGAGAATTAACAAACTCACCTTTAATACAATACAGTTGTCATCTGTCCGAATTGCCCCAGCTCGGCACATGTAAGTTAAACTGGAATAAGACAGCAGAAAGTAAGGTTTTGCTTGCCTTTGAAATATCACACAAAACAAACAAACAAACAAACAAACAAACTACCACCTTTGAGAAAGTTTCTAAACTTCCTTAGATTCAGGGAAAGAAAACGAACTGAAAATACAATCAGCTAGATTTTTTTTTTTAGGAAATCAGCTAGGTATTTTTAAAAACACTTACAAAATTGTTTTTAAAAATAAGATATCCGAATATGTTGATAAATTTTGAAGCTAGGGGCTGGGCACATCGGGGTTCTTCACATTTCCCCCTGTATTTCGATGTTTGAGAATTTTCATGACAAAAAGAAAAAGAATCTTTCAAATAAATGGTTAATAGAACTATCAAATGTTATATAAAGTTGGGCTGGGCACTCAGCATTACTAGAAGTTATCACACAGTTGGGCATTTAATTTCTACCTAAGTTATACTTCTCCATCAGAGGGTAACTAGTTGTTCAGAAATTATAAGCAGTAGCTTTGGAGATGGGCCACAATGACTCAGATACACTGAAAAGTCATTTATCTTTATAGTTGTATATTACTTTGAATAAGAAGAAAACTCTTTTGTACTCCCTACATAGGTACTGAACATTAAACACATTAAAATTTAAATTTATTTCCTTTTTAAATTATATTTCTGAATAAGCAGGTGGAAAGAACCCTAAAACATCTAATTTTGGATCCCACAAATGGTAGTTATGAGCAAATCGGTAACATTAATTAGAATGTAAAAGGTTCCATTTCATGTAGCTGTTAGCAGTACCCTGAGGCTTATAGTATATTATTTTTATTTTATTTCTTTTATTATTTGTTGTGTGTGTGTGTGTTTTCAAATCAGATCTGACTGGTACAGGAGGAGATTCCCCTCCTTCTCCAGCAGAGCATCTGGTGGATTCAAACTGCGCACCTCTGGAATGCAGTGCAGCTTCTTGCCACTAGGCCACCAGAGCTCTCTAAGTATATTGTTTTTAAAACCCTATGTGAGCTCTAATTTATCAACACAGGGTAAATGCCCTGTTTTGACATGAAAGCAAACAAGCAAAACCCCCCAAACAACCCAATACATAATAAAGAATACATGAGTAATTCACTGAGAAATTCTCACTAAAACATTAAAGCCAAATCATCACTACTGATGCTCAACCCCTCACTGAGCATAAAGCGCTCACAACAGGGTTCAACAGGTGACAGCAGACACTGAGAGGACGGCCCTGAGCTGAGATGCAAGCCGGGAACTGTGCTACCAAGAGTAAGAGCATCCTCCTAAAGCTGAGTAAGTGCATTCCCCAAAATCACTCTCTGGTTAGTAACTTCAAGTTCACTATGTCTGTATCTTTAGATTTTCCTGACTTACCATTACTACGCACAACATATGGTATTTAAGTCTGATCTAAGTGTGTTACTATTGCGACTGAGATACAAAGAGAGTAAGTGTGTACTAGTGCGACTGAAATACAAAGTGTGAGGTAAGTAACATACGGTATTTAAGTCTGATCTAATTGTATTACTATTGTGACTGAGATACAAAGAGAGTAAGTAACTAGATGTTTGCTCTACAGCTACTGTTCTGTGTATTACTACTACTATTAAAGGGAATAACAGGCTCACATGCATTTAAGTCTGTGTGAGACAATCCTATGAATTTTAGATTTCAAAACCCCCAAAGACGATGAAGGATAAAGGAGAACAAACTGGGCTGGCCGAGACACTCCGAGGTACTGATCAAGCACTGTCTTTGCCCCATCATCTTGACTTTTACCATTTTGCTGATGTGAGTTGCATCTCAATCGGCTTATCCCTCTGTAACATCTTCACAAAAATCTGTGGTAACAATTCTCCGTCAACCAAAACTGAAAAAAAAAGACATGTGACAGTGATGAAGGAAATAATTCAATCGACAAAGTTCACAAATCATGGAGGTTCAACTAAAAGTTCCAGCCTACCGTTTACCAGGGTCATCGACACCTGAGGGTTCTCAAAAGCTAAAACTGAGAAGCATTTCAGTGCTTGCATTCGAACCTACGAAAAGAAATGAACAACAAATGCATTTATGTTCATTTTTCAAGGAATACTTTTCATTTCCAAGATCATAAATTCTTATTTTGAAGAGAAAGTTAAATGTGCTGAAAATACCAACATGGGCCTCAAAGGAATAAAAAGTAACACTTGTATACTGAATAATACAATAAAAAATTAATTCTAAAACATGAAAATTAATTTTAAGTCAACAGAAAGATAGTAAGGGAGAACTAATAGTTAAAATGATCCACTTCCGAAACGGCTTGCCTCCGTAAACTATGAACAGTGCTCAGGTGTTTTGTTCATAGGGTCACTATGAGTCGCACTTAACAACATCAACAACAATTAAGTCTCTAATCCAAGTTAAAGGAAGCTCTGGTGGCTGAGGGTAAGGAGATGCACTGTCAATCCAAAGGCATGTGTTTCAAATCCACCAGACAATCTCAAGGAATAAAAAGGGCAATGTCTTCCCATGGGATTTACTGTCTCTGAAAACTTGCCGGAGGGTCAGCTATGAGTTGGTTCTAACTGGACGATACATAACAACAACAAACAATCAAAGTTAAAAGGGTAACACTGCACAAAATACAAGACAAAGGCTCCTATAAAACTTGTTATTTTACATATGAATCAGTTTTATTATAGAGTCTGGTCCTCACTTTCAAGACTGAATTATGTCGAATTTTCATTTGGCAAAAAAGATGACTGGGGTTATGAAGAAGCCTGCCGCCTCTCACGAAACAGTGCTCTACAACGCTGATCCCAGAGCACGCAAAGAACACCGATGGTGGAACAGACTCAGCAAAACAGTGACGCTCCCACACACGCTTTCCTGCCACACCTTGATGTTTTTATATCTTATTATGGTAGATATGAAGTCCAATGAGGAGAAGAACAGAAAGAAACAGAAGATGAGCAGGTGGAATGACTAGAGCTGGAGGGCAGAGATGTTGCTGGTGTGTACTGTCGAGTCAGAACTGACCCACAGCTGCCCTCACATGGGAGCAGACTGCCCAGTGTTCTCCATCTTTCTGCAGCTGGCAGATTTAAACCATACGCCTTTGCGTCGGCAGCGCCATTTGCGTCGGCAGCGCCATTTCTTACCACCCAGCTGAACAGTCACAGCGCTCCCAACAACAGCTTCTAGATGTGCAATGGCTAACTCGGGGCAGCCTTTAGCTGGGGAGACCAGACGAACGAAGCAGCTCTCAGTGTGCGTCTCCTTCCTGCTCTGGTTAGTGCCACGCTGGTTCACCCTCCATATCTCTCTCTGTAAACTCTTTACCAAGACTGAACCTTAGATGTCTGCATTAGAGAGCACACACACATTGACAGGCCTTGGCGTATGATAAAGCCAGGGAACAAGAAAGCAAACTAGGTCAGTGCATATGGATGGAAGACAAACACTGCCACCTCCCTGCTCCTCAGAAAATTCCAATGCTTCTATCTATTTCCTACAAATGCTAGTTGGGAAATAATGCATGGCCAAAGTTTTAACTCAGTATCTGATAATACGATTTGACATATCTACAGTATAAGTAAGCTTAAAAACTTGACTTACATAAAAATACAGACCCCACATTAAAGGTGGATATGGATGAGAATATAAATATACAAGTGTGTGTCCCTGTGGCTAAATAAATGTGTCAACTCTGAGATCTCATACTTGGGTTCTACTTCTTTCCTGTGTACTTCAAGGAAATACTACAAGTGAAAAACAAATAGGTCTGTCTTGGAGAGGGTGAAACCAAGTTTCTCCTTGGAGGCTAGGATTTTGAAGCTCTGTCTCACATACTTTGGGCATGTGGCCAGGAGAGACTTGTCCTTGGAGAAGGACATCAAGCTTGGAAGAGTGGAAGGACAGCACAGGAGAGGAAGACTCTGTCTGGATGAGACGGACTGAAATAGTAACCGGGGCAATGGGGGTTGGTATGTCACAGTTAGTGAGGCTGGCTCAGGAGAGGGAAAGGTTCAGACCTGCTGTACATAGGGTCGCAGGCCACTCAACAGCATATAACAACAACAGCAACAACAACAACAACTTTAAGTAGTGAGCTCTAGTGTCCTAGTGACAAGAAGCTGCGCTGCAATCCCGAAAGTACACTCTTCGAGCCCACCAGCTGTTCCGCAGGAGAAGGATGGACAATCTCCTCCTGTGCGATTAGCTGCCTCTGATAACCTGCAGAAGGGTCAGCTTTGGGTCGGTTCCGACTCTATGGTACACAACAACAACTTCAAGTAGTAGCTTTGGCATGCCATATAAGAAGGAAGGACTTTTAAATACTATGAATGATAATATGCAAAATCAGTAGCAACTCATACCTCAACTATATCTTAAAAAGATGGAAATTATCTTTTTTAAAAAATATTATCCGAATGGTGATTAATTTTATAAAACACAATGTATGGGAATAGTCATACAAAACACAGTGTGAAAAGAGGAATGTGTGAAACAATGTATTTAAACAAAGCACAATGTATATGCATTTTGTAGCCAAACCAATATAAAAGAAAAATAACTTTAATAAGTATTATTCTATAATAAATTATTTTAATCTAAAACAATGCTCCATCTCATATTATTGGGAAAAATAAAGACTTTTGATCACACCTATCAAAGAAACATTCATATACGTGTGCATCCTTCTAAAAGCAAGACTCTAGAAACCAGTAACAAGACAGACAAATCTGGACATAATTGTAAATATCTTACTTTGTAGGATGCTGAGGTTAGTAGATGAGCAATATTCTGAACTGCACCATGGTTAAATAAAATTGTTTGGTGATCTGGCCCCTGTAACAGAAAATACAATAAAACATTAAGTATAATGTTCTGTTCCTATCAATCCATTTAGTTAAATTCACCATAATGCAGAATTCTCAATTACCTTTTTTCTTACATAATGAACCACGCTCTCACCTACCACAAAAAAGCTGGGGAGATGTTGTTTTCCATCCTACAAAAGGCTCCCCTACCTTTGCTGTCTCCTGGCCGCCCCCAAATAAGGAGAGGGGTACAGAGCTATCCCAGAACAGACCCTGTGTAAATCTGAAAAGGTGTAGAAAGAATGCCTTGACCAGACATTCCTTTCCTATACCAGTGTGAAATATCCAGATGCTCTGTAAACCAACAACTTTAATAAGACAGAAGACAACTAATAACAGAAGAAAAATTAGTGACAAAAAGATAGTTTCAAAGTTGACACGGTGGTTTATATATAAAAATCTAAGTGTCAAAAGTATAGATTGTTTTAGGTATAGCAAACTGTGAGTGTACCAGACGTCTTTTGTAAGAAACTGGGTTTTGTTTCATAAAGGGTACACTAGTCCGAGGAATTCTCATATGAAGAGCTTAATTTTTTAGCATTGCCTATCTTACAGATTGTTGAGGAAGAGATTTTATTAGATATATTTTTTTCATTTAAGAAAATTCTGTAAATGAATTTTTTTAAAAAGTTATTCTCATTTTAAATTGTCTTTAGAAAAGCCAATACAAGTATCCTTTAATGTCAATATATTTTTCTCTTAGATGTTTAACAAATAAAAATTTGTACTATTAGTAGCTTCTTTATGATAATACGATTAACTTGTGAAAAATCATATCCTGAATTGAGATATGTAAACTATCTCCTTTCAAGTTATGGAAATGTGTGCATTTGTGGAGTGTAGGGGATAGTGTGTGTATGGAGTGTGTATGTTTATTGAAAGAGAGAATGTGTGTGTAATGGAGATTGTTATAACTGGAGTCTATACTTAAAAACTACTGGTTTTTATCTTGCTAATAATTTTATATCTCATTTACTGTCAATTATGTCTTTGCTTTTGAATGCCAGAATTAAAACTGATGAGAATTACACCTTTTAAACTTAAAACTGATTTAATACAGCAAAATAAAGTCTATAAAACTGCTTAATAACTATTATTAGACAGGAACAACTACTAGAAGATACATCTCACTGTTCAGGGACATTTTTCCATTTCTTAATGATAAAATTTATTATGCTTTATATGCTTTTGTATTTCTGTATTTTCTGATTTTTCTACCCACTGTCTTTGATAAATAGAATATGCATTTTTGTTTTGCTAAAAAAAAAAAA